CCATCCTAATTCAATCACTCGATTTGGCATTCGAGAAACGTACACTGAGTGACAGTTTACAATGCAAGGAGCCCGAACTACTTCCAGAGTCTACAACTAACAGCAACAGGCACATAACATAAGAAAACCATCTTGCTGGGCTACACTTGTAGTGAATCAATGTGCGATGTTTGTAGCGTTCTAGGGACCTCTAACTAGCAGGCAACATTGTTGTACATTGTGGAAGGTTTGAAGAAATGTGAAAACGTTGGTCTAATGGAGAAGGCCTCGCCAAAGTTCTAAATAGAAACAGTCGAATAACAAAGCTGAGAAAGACCTGGATTCAAAACTTTCATTTGTTTTTACCGTAACTGCAGATTTTATAGAGCTTTCTGCTCGAATAACTTGAAACGGAAAAAATATCTGTAAAAGAAAACCTAATCTGTCTGTAAGATTTCAGTCCAATAAAATCAATCAAAAGATCATAGTACAAGAAAAAGGGCTTAAAGTAATCCATTAATTACCTTTTGAATAGTTCGCATGACCGACTGATCATAAAGGGGGGCATTTAGACCGGGCCAAAGATAGCCCTCTGGATTTTCACCGATCCGCTGACCACGGTTTAAATCTATTTTGGGCCGAGTGACCCTACGTTTGCCACGAGCCCGCTTTTTAGTGCTTCCCTTAGGGCCAGTAACACCTTCCCATATTATATCGCTTGGAAGAGATGTGAATATCGTACTCTGCCGAGTAGGAATTTTCATAGGCGAAGGCAAACGTGGTGTTAAATCATAAGAACAGCAGCTTGAAAGAAATTTAGGGCTCTGGAAGAAGATGCAAGACGTATTAAACTTTGTAAAAGAGAGTGGTCGCAATATAGATTGTGCTAAAAGCCTCAATGTCATTATAATTGGGATGTGCTACGACAAGGGCAGAAAGGCACGGGCTCAACCCTCGCGGCATATACAGAAGCACAAACAAACAACTAATGAACGGTTGGAAGGCAAGTGAAGAACATATATAGAGA